GCTTTTTTCTGACTTTTCGGGCCCACCGGGCGCCCATTCCGGGTTATGCGGGCTTCTTCGGGCTCCGCTGGCCAGAGTTGCGAGGTTGTCTCCAGCGCCGGCGCCGGAGTTGCGAGGATGTCTCGAGCGGCGGGCTTTTTCAAGCTTTTCGGGTCGAGCGGGGCCCCCAATTCGGGCTGTTCGGGCTATTCGGGCTACGCCGGCGCCAGAGCTGCGAGGATGTCTCGAGCGGCGCGCCTTCCGGGCGTTTCGGGTCCACTTGGGCCCCCACTCGGGCTATTCGGGCTAGTCGGGCCACGCTGGCCAGAGTTGCGAGAATATCTCCAGCGACGGCGTTAGAGTTGCGAGGATGTTTCCAGCGGCGAGCTCTTCGGTCTGTTCGGGCTTTTCGGGTCAACCGGACGCTCGTTCGGGCTATTCGGGCTCTTCTGGGACTTCGGACGGTCCGGCCGCCCGCTCCGACTCGCCCGTTCGGGTTATGCGTGCGTGTTTCTTTTAGCGCGCGTCATACTTTAATGTCCCGCCCGAGCTACCCGCTCGCCCGACCCGAACCGCCCGTTAGGGTTATACGAGCGTGTTTTTTCGAGCACGCGTCATTCTTTAACGTCCCGCCCGCCCGATCCGCCCGCCCGACCCGAACCGCCCGTTAGGGTTACACGTGCATGTTACCTCGAGCAGCAGCGGTCCCAGGGAGGTTCTCGTCCGGCCCCTCTTCCTTCTCCTCCTCCTCCTCCTGCTCCCTCTCCTCCCCTTTCCTCCTCCCCCTCCTCCTCCTCCTCCTCCTCCTCCTCCTCCTCCTCCTCCTCCTCTTAATCCTCCTCCTCCTCCTCTCCCTCCTCCCACTCCCTGTCCTCCTCCTCCTCCTCCTCCTCCTCCTCCTCCTCCTCCTCCTCCCGAACAGCGTCGTATGTCACATAGGATCCGCCCGTCCGACGCGTTTTTTGTTTTGTTTTGATTTTTTTGTTTGTGAACATGCGTCCGCCCGACCGGATTCGTCCGACCCGGCCCGCCCATGAGTTGCACAAGCTCGTTTTTCAGCACGCATCAAACTTTAATGTCCCGCCCGCCCGCCCCGTTCCGCCTTTTTTGGGTCCGCTCGCCCGACTCGACCCGGCCGTTACGGTTACCCGTGCGTGTTTTTTCGAACATGCGTCATACTTTAATGTCCCGCCCGCTCGACCCGACTCGCCCGTTAGGTTCCGCTCGCCCGATCCGATCCACCGGTTCGGGTTACGCGTGCGTGTTACTTCGAGCACGCGTCATACTTGTAATGTCCCGACCGCCCGACCCGCTCGCCCGTTAAGGTCCGCATCCGGTCCGGTGCTTTTTTTAGAAGAAGCGTCATACTTTAATGTCCCGCCCGCCCGACCCGACCCGCCCGTTAGTCTCCGCCCGCCCGATCCGATACGCCCGTTAGGGTTCCGCGTGCGTGTTGCTTCGAGCACGCGTCATATTTCAACGTCCGGCCTGCTCGGCCCGCTCGCCCTTGAAGGTCCGCATTCGACCCGACCCGCCCGTCAGGGTTACGCGTGCGTGTTACTTCGAGCACGCGTCATACTTTAAATTCCCGTCCGCACGACCCGACCGCCCGTTTGGGTACGCTCGCCCGACCCGACCTGCCCGTTGGGGTTACGCGTGCGTTTTTTTTCCAGCGCGCGTCATACTTTAATGGCCCGCCCGAGCTACCCGCTCGCCCGACCCGAACCGCCCGTTAGGGTTATACGAGCGTGTTTTTTTTGAGCACGCGTCATTCTTTAACGTCCCGCCCGCCCGATCCGTTCGCCCGCCCGACCCGAACCGCCCGTTAGGGTTACACGTGCATGGTACTTCGAGCAGCAGCGGTCCCAGGGAGGTTCTCGTCCGGCCCCTCTTCCTTCTCCTCCTCCTCCTGCTCCCTCTCCTCCCCTTTCCTCCTCCCCCTCCTCCTCCTCCTCCTCCTCCTCCTCCTCCTCCTCCTCTTTATCCTCCTCCTCCTCCTCCCCCTCCTCCTCCTCCTGCTCCCTCTCCTCCCCTCTTCTTCTCCTTCTCCTCCTCCTCCTCCTCCTCCTCCTTCTTTCTCCTCGTCCTCCTCCTCCTCCTCCTCTCCCTCTTCCTCCTCCTCCTATTCCTCCTAAACAGCGTCGTATGTTAGGGTCCGCCGGTCCGACCCGACTCGCCGGTTAGAATTACGCGTGCTTTTTATGTTGAACATGCGTCATACTTTAATGTCCCGCCCGCCCGGTCCGCTCGCCCGACTCGACCCGGCCGTTGCGGTTACGCGTGCTTGTTTTTTCGAAGATGCGTCATATTTTGATGTCCCGCCCGCCCGACCCGACTTGCCCGTTAAGGCCCGCCCGCCCGATCCGATCCGCCCGTTAGGGTTACGCGTGCGTGTTACTTCGAGCACGCGTCATATTTTAATGGGGAGTCCCGACCGCCCGACCCGCTCGCCCGTTAGGGTCCACATCCGATCCGACCCGCCCGTTTGGATTACACGTGCGTTTTGCTTCGAGCACGCATCATACTTTAATGTCCCGCCCGCCCGACCCGACCCTCCCGTTAGGGTTCGCTCGCCCGAACCGACCCGCTTGTCAGGGTCACGCGTGCGTGTTACTTCGAGCACGCGTCATACTTTAAATTCCCGCCCGCACGACCCCACCCGCCCGTTACGGTCCGCTCGCCCGACCCAACCACCCCGTCAGGGTTACGCGTGCGTGTTTTGTTGATCATTCGTTGTGTCAGAATTTGAATTTCCGCCCGCCCGACCCGATCCGCCCGTTAGGGTTCCGCTCGCCCGATCCGATTCGACTGTTAGGGTTACGCGTGCGTGTTATTTCGAGCACGCGTCGTGCTTTTCTGTCCCGCCCGCCCGACCCGCTCGCCCGTTAAGGCCCGCATCCGATCCGACTCGCCCGTTACGGTTACGCGTGCGTGTTTTGTTGAACATTCGTCATACTTTCTGTCCCGCCCGCCCGACCCGACCCGCCCGTTAGTCTCCGCCCGCCCGATCCGATCCGCCCGTTACGGTTCCGCGTGCGTGTTACTTCGAGATCGCGCCCGAGTTGTGAGAATGTCGCGGGCGCCGGCCGGCACTCGAGCGGGTGTCTCGAGCGGCGGCGCACGAGCTGCAAGCATGTTTCAATCGGCAAGCGCTCTCGAGCTATTCGACCTATTCGGGCTTTCCGCGCCTCTCGGGCTGTTGGGTTATTCGGGCTTTTCGAGCTTTTCGGGATTTTCGGGCTTTTCTGGTGACCCAGGCGCCCATTCGGGCTGTTTGGGCTACTCGGGCTATTCTGGCCAGAGCTGCGAGGATGTCTCGAGCGGCGGCGCTCGAGTTGCGAGGATGTTTCGAGCGGTGGGCTTTTCGGGCTTTTCTGGTCAACCTGGTACTTTTTCTGGCTTTTCGGGCTTTTCGGGCTCTTCGGGTCAACCAGGCACTTTTCCTGGCTTTTCGGGCTTTTCGGGTTCGGAGGTTCTGGCCAGAAGGCACGTGGTGCAGTCCCTGACACACAAAAACGTTGTCCGGCCGACTTCGGCCCGCGCCCCCCTGCCGCCAAGGCCCCCCGAGGTCCTGACGTGCCCCGTGCGCGTCGGCCCCGACAGCGCTCATTCCCTGCATCGTGTGCGTCTCACCGAAGCCCTTCGGGCTTAAGGAGAGTTTCCCACCTTTGCTGCCCTGCAGCAGCACATCCGCGAGGCTCACGCTCCACCGGCACCCGACCTGCGTTTAGAGAAGTCGAATGTGGCGGGGCGGGCCCCGAGCACTGGGACAGAGCAGCGCACCCAGGAGTTGCGGGGCAGGTTCGGAGGAGGTCGGGCGCGCAGCCACGAGCGCGACGCCAGGCGACGTCGCGGGCAGGGAGCAGCACCGTCAGTAGGGGGCGCCCCATCGGGAGGACACGGACAGACGGCTACTCAGGCGGGCGGCGCCCGCGGTCCACGGCTCGGAGGAGCTATTGGCAGAGAATCATTCTGGCCTGGCGCCCGCAGATCTGCAGCGCTTCGATCGCATGCCCGTCGAGTGGATGCAGTCAGTCTTCCCCGTGCTCACGCGGCTCGTTTTTCGGTACGAGTTCTCAATCAATCTCGAGCCCGCGGCGTTCAGGCACCTGCAGATGCCGAGCAAGCACGAATTCATACTGGCCATGCAGCTGACGGCGAGGTTCTACGGCAAGGAGGCCGCCTGGCTTTGCAAAGAGCATGCTCGAGAGATCAAAGCAGGACAGATGGTGGCAGGGCTCGAGAGCCCTGGCACTCCTCATCCCCATGTCTCCCTGGCCCTGGTCGGGGCGCTGATCGGACAGGGCGAGGAGATCGGTCAGCTGAACCTCGCAGCGCTGAAGGAGTACGAACAGAAAGGGAAGCACGAGAACCCAGACAACTCGACCCTCGCGGACACCACCCTCCACTGCCGCATGCAGACCACACACTCGGGAGAGTTCGTGAAAGTGTGGATCTCTGTGGAGCCGAAGCATATCGAGCAAGTGTCGTGAACTCGTTGGTCCAGCTCGGCGGCAAGCGC